TAGGTTTCTATTGTAATTAGATATAGGGTTTGTGGCCATCATGTAAATAGGCCTTTCTTGTATTGTATATATACCTTTTTATGTTTTAAGGTAAAATTATGAAGAAGAGGGCAGCACCTCAAATATGTTCTCTCTCTTTGTATCATCCATCTACTCTCTCACTCTATCATCTCTCTCAATAGTCTTGCATTTTCACAGTAGCTACACCTCAACAAAATGGCTTTGTGGAAAGAAAGAATAGAACAATTCAAGAAATGGGGAGAACAATGCTACTTGAAAATGGACTTGCAAAGGGTTTTTGGGCTAAAGCTATGAACACAGTTGTTTACATTATTAATAGGGTCCTTCTTAGACCTAATTCAACCAAAACCCCCTTTGAACTTTGGTATGGAAGACTTGCAATAATCCATTACTCAAAGTATTTGGCATCAAGTGTTACATTCTAAATCATATTGACAGCCTTGGAAAGTTTGATTCAAAGGTAGATGAAGGTATCTTCTTGGGATACTCAACCAAGAGTAAGGCTTACAAGTGCTATAATCTAAGATCCTCAAAGGTGGGTGAGTCAATTCATGTGAGGTTTGATAAGAATCCTCAAGCAAATACCTCTGAAGAAGCTTATTCTATACCAAGATCAAGTGAAACTAGTTCTTCACTCTCATATTCTGTTATTCAGAAAGAAATCACTTATCCAATTCTGCAGAATCAGGTTCAAGCTAAAAACATCATTGGTTCACCAAAAACTGGAGTTCAAATAAGGGGTAAGAAGAAATTAAGTGAGTTGGAGACTCAAGATGCTAAAGAATGCAGTCATTTTGCAATGTTGTCCTCTGTTAACCCTAAATCCTATTCAGAAGCCAAGAATGATAAAGATTAGATAGTAGCTATGCAGGAAAAGCTTCATTAAATCCACAAAAATGACACTTAGAAGCTTGTTCCAAAACCTGAAAACAAGAATGTTATTGGTTCTAAGTGGATTTTCAAAAATAAGATGAATGAAAAGGATTTTGTTATCAAAGACAAGGCAAGGTTGGTGTGCAAAGGGTATGTTCAACAAACTGGTATTGACTATGATGAGATATTTTCTCCTGTGGCAATAATGGAATCCATCAGAATGCTCCTATCCTTTGCTTGTCACAAACAAGTTAAAGTTTATCAAATGGATGTGAAATCTGCCTTCTTGAATGGTGAACTTAATGAAGAAGTTTACTTAGAACAACCTGAAGGTTTTGAAGATCCACAGCCCTCTTCTCATATGTTTAAACTAAGCAAAGATTTGTATGGTCTTAAACAAACCCCTTAAGCTTGGTATGAAAAACTACATAGCTTCTTCATTGAACAAGGGTTTCACAGAGGCAAGGTAGATAACCCTTTATATGTCAGAACACATCAAGATCAATTCCTCATTCTTCAAATTTATGTTGATAATATCATGTTCTGTGGCTCAGACACTTCATTAACCTCAGAATTTGCAAATCTCATAAAGGCAAGGTTTGATATGTCTCTTTTAGGGATTCTCAAATACTTCTTAGGCCTTCAAGTACATCAAACATCCATAGGAATCTTTATTTCTCAAGAGAAATATGCTACTAAACTTCTTTGGAAATTCAACATGGCTAAAAGTAAGGTTGTTACTACACCTTTGTGCCCTAATACCAAACTCACCCCTTGAGTGTACAACATAAGTTGTCCCTTCAACCTTTTACAGGTCTATCATTGGGAGTTTGTTGTACCTCACAGCTTCTAGGTCTGATATCATGTATTCTGTGGGCCTAGTTGCAAGGTTTCATATTTATTGATTTTTTTTTTTTTTTTCAATAAGTGTATTGTTCCCTATCTGAAATAAAATCTTGGCTTCGCCCATGGTTGGAATGGGTTGGTAATGGTGATAAAGAGAATCAAAGGTTGCGATGTTGTTATGGAAAAATAGGGAGGCGGGGTCGGTGGTGATTGTGATGGTGTTGTGCAAAATCCAACGCAATATGAATTATTGAACTAGCAATAAAGAGGTGAACAAAGATGGTTGGCAACGACGATAGGTGGCGGTGTTGAACAGAATCGGCGAGAACCAGCGTTCATGGTCTTTCTTGGAGAGAGAAAAAGGATAAAAAATAAATGAAAATTAAAAAAAAAAAATCTCACAACAGTGGGTTAAACTCAGAATAATTGGGCAATACCCAACTTTAACTTAACTTTTTCTTTTGGACACCTATTTGAAATCTATTGGGCCACATCAACAGGTTGGATGTGGGTTGGACACAAGCATTGTCCTATCCAAAATATTAAGAATCCAAGTTTTCCTCTTAATGGAGACAACAAATTTTATGACAAATATTAGGCACAACCGGAGGGACTTGCTGGATTAGGGTAAGACAAATAAACCTTCGAATCGTACACCGGTTTAGAGTCTATTATTTGGTTTACTGAATTGGGTCCTTGTCTAGATCTAATTTTTCATTTTTGTTTTCGGTCTCTTTCAAGTTTTGTTTATACTTGTCCTATGATCTCTTCACCTTCCGCTGCAAAGATTTGTTGAACAAACATACGAGGAACTCTTTAATCTAAACATGAATTATATATATCATTCTCTACGTATATAATATTATATATATATGCATATTGAAATACGTGGATGCATCATGTCAAATGGAATATTTTGATCACTCATGTGGGTGGGTTTTAGTAGTTATCGAAAATATTAAGAGTTCAAGTTTTCCTCTTAATGGAGACAACAAATTTTAAGGTATATTGTTGATTTTCACGTACATCATTATTCATATTTGTCAATATACTAATTTATTTCATTTTTTTATTTGGGGTAATTTACACAAACCTCCCCTATGGTTTGCCATAATTATAGAGACCTCCCTTCCTGTTTCAGAAATTATTTGGACCTCCCTTAAGAATGAAAATAATCTACATAGACCTCCCTTATATGTGACGAACCGTTAAATACACTAACGGAGCTGTCAAAATTACAGAAATATCCTCAACTTTTAATGATAAATGACTTAAATACCCCAGTGTGTATGTATGTGTATATATATATTAATAAATTTTCAATTTTAGAGGCAATAAGAGACAACATAGTAGGTCCAATGAACCACAATTCAAGTGTGGTTAGTTGATTTCAGTCCAGCAAGTGATCAAAAAAGTACTGAAGCAACAAAGAATTTCAATTCAGTGAAGAGCTTCACAAGTTTCAGTTTGGGCATGTTTCAATTAGGTGAGATCAAGCAACAGTTTTAGAGACCCAATTCGAAAGCACAGAGCATTAATGGATTTCATTGGTTTCAATCTAATGGCAGACATCCTATGGCGGTGTTATATATAATTTATATATATATATACACACACATTCACACACACACACAAGCTTATAATGAGGAATGAGGAATACAACTCATAGAAATCAAAACATAGAGGTATACTCACCACAGACGATTCAATTATCTAGTTCTGGTTTTTGAGTACCTTTTTGTTGAATTGAATTTTGCCAACCTAATATTTCTTAAACCCGAAATTGGCTTTAGAGATGGAGGCAGAAAGAAAGAAAGAGAAAAAGAAAAAAAAAAAAAAAAAAAAAGTTTTGTAGGAGATTCTTTTTAGAGAGAGAGCTTTTTGTTTTAGGGAGGATAGTGGTGGTTGTTCATATAGAGGAGAGAGAAAGGCCAAAAATGAAAAAAAAAAAATAATAATAATAATAATAATAATAATTTTGGGGAGAGATGGAAAGGAAACAGAGGAGAAAAAAGAGGGGAAAAAGAAGAAGAAAGGATGGTGACCGGTGGTGGCTGTTCTTCATATATAAAGGAGAGAGAAAGGCCAAAAAAAAAAAAAAAAACTAATTTGGGAGAGAGACAGAGAGGAAACAGAGGAGAAAAGGGAGCGAAAAAGAAAAGGGGTAAAAAAAAAAAAAAAAAAAAAAGAACGATGCTCTTTCCTCATTCAGGTTTAGTTTTCCAATGAAGGTTGCTATTGTTGAGGTGATGAATTTGGGTCTGGAGAGATCGGGTTTTTTGGGTTTGTTTGATCCGCTGCCACCACTACCATCACCATAAGGTCTAAACCCCACTCTTTCAAAGTGGGATAATGGTCGCAGAGATTCGTCGTCAACATCGCTCGAATTAATATAAAGAATTTGGAGACCGACTCGCTCTTTGTGCGTGTATACATATATATATATATATACACATTTTCATGTACAATGATTCACCGTTCACCCAACCCACTTCTCCTCCGGCCAATCCCCACCATAGCCGACCACCAACAGCCCCCATTTGGGTATAACTAAAATTAGATAATTGAGACTATATTGATAGTGTGTTTATAATTTGATTCAAATTCTTTGCTAACATGTGTATATATCATCATTTGGTAAGATTGCATTTTTCATATTTGGCTCAGCCAAGTCTGTAAATATACTGTATACGTAATGGAGAAGATGAGGGTATTTTGGAAATTTCAACATCAACATCTAATATATAATATAAAGTATATAGACAAGGGTATTTTAGGAATTTTAGTAAAATTATTAGCTGACGTTATCAATTTCCGTCGTTGACCGACGTTGACTTTAACAAAAGTCTAACAGAAGGAAGGTCCGTGTAGATTATTTTCATTCTTTAGGAAGGTCCGAGTAATTTTCGAAACAGAAGGGAAGGTCCTTATAATTATGACAAATCATAGGAGACGTTTATATAAATTACCCTTTTATTTGTAACAAGAAACAATTTCATTTGGAGTTCTAGTTATAACTTTAAAAAAATAAAAAAATAAAATCATTTATTTTAAAATTAAAATCTAAGAACCCAGCAACCCTGAAATATTGCCATTCGAACCAACTTATCAATTGTTTATATAAATTACCCTTTTATTTGTAACAAGAAACAATTTCATTTGGAGTTGTAGTTATAACTTTAAAAAAATAAAAAAATAAAATCATTTATTTTAAAATTAAAATCTAAGAACCCAGCAACCCTGAAATATTGCCATTCGAACCAACTTATCAATTGTTATTTACCAATTTCAGAAAAATCTTATCGGAATGTGTGCGCGGACGTGCGTCTTCAGCACACAATTGAAGATTTCGAACAAGGTACACTGGATTGGGTTGGAAAATATATATTTTTCGTCTGCTTTTGGGATGGCTCTGAGCATCTCTTGCTCTGCTTCAGTGAACCCACAACAAGGTACTCCAACTGTTAATGCAATTCTCTCCTATACATCTCTCCCTCTATATATAGATATATCTAATAACATTGCTATGCTGCTTAATTTCATCTCAGCTAATCTCAGTCTCAGCAACAATAACACCAACAAATACCTTCAAAAAGTGAAATACCTCATTAAAACAACTGGAATTCCTTCAATCACCACCACTCCCCAACAATCCCTGCAAAGAGGCAACTGGGTGAAGCTCATTTGTGGTGCCAGCTTCGAGGTACATCAAAACCCTCTAAACCCACAACCATAAACCCCTCATATTATCTATCACACTAACATCTCTCTCTCTCTCTCTCTCTCTAGGATGTTATTGATATCAGGAACCTCTCTTTGGTTTACACTCTAGCTGGAGGTGACTGACAACTCTTAAATTTAAACTGGTAATCTTCATGTAATTAAATTAGTACGTGATTTGAAGTGTATATATATGGATTTGAATGATTGGTTACAGTTGATTGCATTGATTGTGCGGCTGATGCATCGGTGGTGAGTGCGGTTAATGAAGGGATTGATGCAGCGACGGAGATTTTACCCCTTCGAAGGCCTTGGGTAATGATCAGTGTTAATGATGATGAAGATCTTCACTTTCGCAAAGCTGGTAGTTCTTCTTTTTATTTATTTATTGTTTTTATACTATATCATTCTTTGATTACCTAACTGTGAATTTAGATTTTGGAAGCAATTGCATTTGTGTTTGTCACCAATTTGATGTGTTTCTTTCACTTGGAATTCATGGTTCTGAGCTTTGAAACAATTTATTTTTTCATTTTGTTTGTTGATTGTTCAAATGCTACTAAATTTGTTTGAACAATACTTATCTCGGGCGCCAGTGAGGAGGAACCTCCTCCACATATAATGATAGAATGTTATATGTCTATTTTGAATTTTAAATACAAGAAGGAGAAAGTAAAGATATCTTTTTCTTTTTTTTTGCTTAACAAATTTTAATTTAAAAAAAGGCACGTGTCATTTTATCATTGTGCCATATCGGTGGTGTGAAGGAGGTTCCTCCTCACTGGTGTAGAGGCTAGTATTGTTCAATGTGTTGTCTCAATCAGGAGAAGGTTTGTATTGTAGCATTGTGGAACAGTGGCATTTTCCAATGACCATCCTGTGGAATGGAGATGTCCTTCCCTCTTGTTTCTGGTGCATACAAATCCATCCTTGAATTAAATTTATGAATTTACTGCACAAGACTAGACTGGCTGTTAAATATGGTAGTCGAAAAAATATGATTGATATCCTCCTTCTAAAGTCTTAAAATCCATAAATTAATAGTCACGTTAATTCAAATGCTTTTTGAAACAATGTAGACTGATTCCCTTGAGACATCTAGATATCCATACCCTCATCAAACTGTGTCATATTAAATTAGTTCTATTGGTCAAGAGCTTCAAGACCAATCTAGTAGTTCGTTCTGTTCCTCATAGCGTTTGTTCTATAATCGATTTTGTTGCACTTTTCTTTTCCTTCATTACAATACATTGAAAGCAATGAAAGGTCATTATCACTTGCTATCCATCAACTACAAATGAACCAATCAAAGAGTTGACTGATAATTTGGTCACAGGGAAAAGGGAGGAATTGGGCAAATTTTCATATTCATATACTCAATCTATTTTGCCTCTTGTTCCAAGCTAACTTATTACCATCTTGACAGAATTTGATCCAGATAATTGTCCGCCAGACTGTTCAAGACCGTGTGAAACTGTTTGTCCTGCTAATGCAATATCAGTAGAGGGCACATCAGGTGTATTCAAGGTGCTTCTTTGCTTTATTGATCTTCCAAGTGATCACATTTTAACATATGAAGCTAATACCAATATTCAGGGTGGAGTAAAAACCGAACGCTGCTATGGCTGTGGCCGCTGCTTTCCAGTTTGTCCATACGATAAAATAAGTGAATTTTATTTCCTTTTACTTCTACTGTTTTCTCTTTTAAGTTGTCCTTTCTAGATATTAATACAGAACTATGTATTTTTCAACAGCTACAATTTTACTCTTGCCAAATTGTATTGATTTCGCATGTGTCATAGTATTCAATTTACTCTTGATCTAGGAGAAACTACTTATGTAAGAGATGCTACTGCTACAGCTGAACTTCTTAAAAGGGATGATGTTGACGCGGTGGAGATACATACAAATGGAAGGTAAGCCCTCAACAATTTTATAATTTCCACATGTCATGCATAGGGAGTCATTTCGTTTTATTCTTGTTAGCATTTGAGCCATAGCATCTATTCTCTAAAATGGAGTTCTCATTGAAACTGCAACCATTGGCATGCGCCATAGTTATAAAGTGCAATATCATCAAACTTTGAAAGTCCACTCATCGTCTTGTGCATGCAATGTAATAAAATCATCTCGTCTGCTCTGAAAAACTAATAATTTACTAATGCTTTGTACAATGAAATTTTGAAATCCTGTCTTCCATAATTTGCTCAAAAAATAAGGAAGAAAGGAGTAGAGGTCATATAGAACTTGTGATCGTCTGCTTGAATTTCTTAACTCATTTACGTTTATTCTTAGGCAGACTGCATTGTTCGAAAAACTATGGAATTCTTTGGGAGATTCAGTTGGATATCTGAGACTTGTAGCAGTATGGAAACTGTCCTTGCCATTTAAATAACCAGATAATTGATTTGTTTTGGGGACATAAAACTAATCTTTGTTGAGTACAGGTTAGTTTCCCTGATGTTGGGGATTCAACCATATCATACATGAACAGGGTGTACTCTATTATGGAACCCAATCTACACTGCTTCAATTTATGGCAGGTGCGCACCAGTGAATTAAAAATCCACTATAAATGCTTAATAATTTAACTACTACTTTTCTGAGAAGTTGTATATATGATGTAACCTGCGAACCAAAGTTGGATGGTCGCCCCATGAGTGGAGACATTGGACGAGGTGCCACAAGGGAAGCAATTGCATTCGCTGTTCGTTTGGCTGCTGCTAAAGCCAGACCTCAAGGTATGTTTGGACATTTAATATGGTTCTGAGTTCGTATATTACCCTTGGTTCACATCAACTCTATCTATTGTAGGTTTTCTTCAATTGGCGGGTGGTACCAATGCTCACACGATAAACGGGTTGAAGAAAGAGGGACTTTTCCAGACCACATCCATAGCTAGTATATATCTTGCATCATCTTTAGTACCTTTTTTTTTTTTTTTTTTTTTTTCTTTTCACATTTTATCACCCTTCGTTGTATCTTTATTCTTTTGGTCTCTTAACTTTTATTTTTATTTATTTATTTTTTAGTAGAAGGTGAAATATTGCCTGTGAATTCAATTAGTCCAAAGGATGCTTTAATCGGTGGGGTTGCTTATGGTGGCTATGCACGGAAGGTTACCCTTATTTCCAATGACCATGGGCACTTACAAAAATACACTTCTAATTGCGAATATATTTATCTTCTCTTTAAAAGACTTACTAAATTGTTTACTACTGAAATTATATCTAATAATCTTCTATTTGCCCTGTAACCGTATCAATTTGTTCTATTCCCAGATTGTTGGAAGGGTTTTAAATTCCATGGAATCCCGGCATGGACTTGCTTGCATTGAGGAATATCCCGAGCATCTTTTTACTGCACTAAGAGAAGCCCTTGCTTTGGTTGGTACTGTCAAGTGCTACAGTAAGGATTCTATGGACTGCCTCTTTTAGCTGGATATGTTCAATGATATACAAAATGAGTTGGGCAGAGGTACTCATGCAAATCCAAGTTGTTTGCTTTTATTTTCACATCTCTTGTTACAGTTGATATTCTAGCAGCCAAGAGGCAATGGCATACTGGCACTTTTTTTTTCCTTTTCTTTTACTTATAGGTTTAATAAAATAAAAATATATATAAGTCACTTAACAAGGCATTGACATCTTTATTTTTTTTTTCCTGAATGGGTTTGTTTTATATACAAAAGAGAATAAGTACAAGTGCAAAAGGAGGCATACCTCCTTTTACAGTTCAAGAGCTAGAGAAAGCCCACTTCCAGTACAAACTGGATAACAAAAATGAAACCTTAAACATGAATCTATTAAAACACAAGTATAAAGTCTTCTAAACTACGTGTGAGATAAGTCAACACTTCCCAAACTATAGTCTTAGCCACATAAGGAGCTTGATCTTGACAGCCATCATGAAGCACAACATTCCTCACATTCCAAATTTTCCACACAGTAGTTGTAAAAATAGCACTCAAAATCTTAGTCTTAACTGATTTGTTAGATGTTTGCAAGCAAAACCAATCCACTACTTCCATCAGAGATTCACAAACTGGCAACTCCATCTGTATCAGACTGAAAATTTCCTGCCACACTGCTTGAGCATAGGTACAATTATAAAATAAATGATCATTTGTGTCCATGCTTCTCCAACAGTTATGACAAATAGATGTTAATATAATCCCACACTTCTGCAGATTCACCAAAGATAGGTTTCTATTGTGTAGAATAATACACACCCCCATAGCAACTCTAGGTCTGCTATACCTCCAAATTATAGCACTCCATTTCTGTGTTGAACCTGTATATCTGCATACACTCCAAGCAGCTTTCAATGAAAACTGAGAGTGCCTCCAAACAATTTTGTCTGTCCCTGGCTTGATTATAATTCTTTGAACAACATCCTTTACTTCCACAGGCAAGTAATCAGGTATATTCCATCTACCTTCAGTCATTATAGCAGCTGCCATGAGGTTTCTGTCAACTTGTCTTAAAACAGCAGCTCCAAATTTCTATATCAGAGACTGATTATCACACCAAGAATCTGTTAGAAGTTTAAAAATTTGTCCATCTCCAATCTTAAAATCAACATTATCCAACACCAGCTGTCGAACTCCAATCAGTTGTCTCCAAATCACAGAATCACTAAATTTTGGAACTACAGACCAGAAGGAAACTCTTTGCAAATAAACAGCCTGAAGCCATTTTATCCACAATTTATCCTTCTTCTGCACAAAATCCCAGCAAAGAGTCATTTTTGCAGCTACATCTAACTCCTGAATTCTTATAATATTGAAGCCTCCCTCTGAAACAGGTAGAGTAACCTGACTCCATTTCAGTAAAGATATTTTCTTGACATCCTGTTTTCCACTCCGCAAAAACTGTTTAAATCTTCTTTCAAGCCCAATTTTAGTTTCCCAAGGGATCTTAAAACCAAAGACCCAATGGTACAAGTATGAATATAGGACTGATCTGATCATTTCAACTCTTTCAGCAATAGACAGATTAATTGTATTCCAATGAGATAATCTAGCATTAATCTTATCAATCAAAGGTCTGAAGTCACCTGTTCTCAAGTTCTTGTTAGACAAAGGCATCCCCAAGTACTTAAAAGGAAAATTCTCTGTTTAAATTGCAAGTATTTGAAAGTCGTCTTCTTCCTCTCACAGCTTTGGAAAAAATGATTGATCTTTTCTCTTTGTTGATCTGCAAACTCGTAGCCTCTTGAAACTGTTTGAACACATCAAGATTTGCCTTGGCAGTAGAAATGTCTGCTTTAACCACAATTAGCAAATCATCTGCATAAAAAACATGAGAAATCTTCAAATCTGTCCCTGCAACAACCTTGTATAATTTGATCCTGCCCTCCTCAATAGCTTGCTCCATTAGATGGCTAAAATACTCAGTAACAAAGGAAAACAGCAGAGGGGAAAGAGGACATCCCTGTCTAATACCTCTGGAGGCAGAGAAAAACCCTGCTGGAACTCCATTACATAGAATAGAAAACCTTGGAGATGAAATAGACTTAGTGATCCAGTTTATCCATTTAGCACTAAAACCATACCCCTGTAACATCCTCTGAATAAAGCCCCATTCAACAGAATCATAAGCTTTTTTCAAATTCACTTTCAAAACCATTGATGGATCCACATGTTTCTTCCCAAAACCCTTAATCAAATCAGACATCAGCAATATATTATCATGAAGCCTTCTATTCTTAATGAAACCTGTTTGTTCAGGACCAATTAATTTTGGAGGCACACAACTCAATCTGTTTGCTAAGACCTTAGAAATAACTTTATACACCAAGTTGTATAGAGCTATAGGTCTATAGTTAGCAATTTTATCCCCATGGTTAAGCTTAAGGATGAGAGTAAGAAATGTAGAATTAATACCTTGGGGCAGGTTTCCAGAGTTAAAGAAATGACAACTGAATTTATAAGGTCTTGCCAATGATCTCCCAATAATGTTGAAAAAATCTTGCTGGAAATCCATCAGGACCAGGAGATTTATCAGGATTAAAATGCATAACAACAGTTTTTATCTCTTCAGCAGTGATAATACTATCTAAGCTGTCATAGTCCTCTTGAGACAATACCTGTCTAGGAGGTTTAACCTCACCAGTTTCCTCTCCTCGAGTCTTGAATAACTCTGAATAAAACTGGACCAACCAATCTTTAATCTTCTGAGCATCAGAAGAGATCTCACCTGTAGAATTCTGTACCTGAGTGATAGAGTTAACACATCTTCTTTGCCTTACAACATTATGGAAAAAAATGGTGCATTTATCTCCTTCTTGAAGCCATTTGAGTCTGGATTTTTGAGCCCAGACAATTTCATCACGATCAAGAGCATGTTGCAAATTATCAGAAGCTGCTCTCTCTTTAGAAATACAATCTTGATTGTATGGATCTTGAACAAACTCCATTTGCACTATATAACCCTCTTCTTTGGCATATTTAATTTGCTCTGATGTAGACCCCCTCTATTTGTTCCAAGTTTTGACAGCTTCCTTTACTGCTTCGAGTTTTTTCTGTAAAACATGTATTGGATTTCCTGAGACAATAAATTCCCAAGCTTTTCTCACCACTTTCTCAACTTCTGCCTGAAGACACCAGATATTGAGGAATTTGAAAGGCTTTGGTCCAGTGGAACAATCAAAAAACCATTGAACTAACATTCCATAGTGATCAGATAGAGAAGCAGGTGTTAATATTACCTTAGAATCATTGAACTGCGGCAACCACAAAGAATTAACAAGAACCCTATCCAACTTAGCATTTATCCTTTTGTGAATAATCTGTTTATTACACCAAGGCTATTCCCCATTATTAATAGGCAGATCATCCATAGCAATATCAAATATCACACTGTTAAATTCATCCAGTTTGCTTTATGGAACACTCAAACCTCCTTTCTTCTCATGACTAAATCTGACCATGTTCTAATCTCCCAAGGCAATCCAAGGCCCTGTAACTTTGGTAGCTTGCATTTTCAAAGAGTTCCATAAATGCTTTCTGTCCTTCGCCCTGTTAGCTGTATATACCCCAGTGATAAAGATACTTCTGCCAGTCACTATATGTTTTACATGAACCAACATAGATTGAACATCCTCATGTACCAGATCCACCTCAAATAGATTTCTATTCCAACCTATCCAAATTTTTCCCAAATAACTAGATTTAGAGTTAGAAATCCAGTTCCAATGTGAGCAAATTCATTTCTGTATAATAGAAGCTTTACCTTCCTCGACTCTAGTTTCAAGAAGGACAGCAAAGGAAAATTTATTCTCCATAATCCACTGCTTTACTTCCTTCTGCATGGGAGGTCTATTCAGACCTCTCACATTCCACGCTCCTAACATTATTGAGAGTTTGGCAGTGAACCACTGCCACCTTGCATTCCTCTAGTAACCCTATCTGAAGGAGGGATGAAAGGCTTCTTTCTTTGTCTAGATTGCTTCCCTATCCCTTGACTATCTTCTTCTGATGTATGCTGTAGGGCCTCCACTTTCTCAGTTTCATTGATCATCTGAACTTCATCATTAGGTTCCTTACATGTTTGTTCTTCAACCTCTGCTGCAACAATTTTTTTATCCACATGAGGACCTGTATTATCCTCAATAATACATTCAGTTTCCAATATTGTAGGACTACTCAGAATAACAACCTCTTCCCCAACTCTCCCTTCCCCAATAATCTCATTAACCGAAGGCACTTTAGGATCTCCTAGATTTACAGCCTCTTCTGAAGCCTCACCATTAATCTCCTCCTTGTCTTCTAGTAAAGCAAATGCATTGAAAGTTTCCACCACATTATCTTTCTGTAAATGTGTTTGAGGCATATCAGCAATCACCTTGTCTACATTATCAACAACAACCAGCTTTCCTTTCTGTTTAACCACCCACTGATCCGTAGATTTCTTAGGCTTTTGTTTAAGCTGAATAATCTTTAATGGACATCTATCTCCAATGTGATCTACTCATTGACACAACTTACACACCACACGTTTCCATTCATAGTCAAATTCAACATGACAATCAACCCCATGCATATCAACAACCATTGAATCTGGCAAATCTTCTTTGACTTCGACTTCGACTTCGACTTCCACCATAACCCTGACAAAATGTCCCTAATCTCTGTGAGTCTCTGGGTCATCCATGTAAATAGGTTTCGTAAACGATGAACAAACCTTTGATACAGATGCTTCATTCCAGCAATGCATTGGCAGATCATGAATGCGCAACCACACTGGAACTGTTTCAAGGATTTCTTTTTGTAAGTTAACATTCTTGTTCCATCTCTTCATTATTATAGGACGTCCCTCAAATGTGTGTATTCTTGATAACTCCTTAGAAACGTCTTCATCGTTCTTGAACCGAACCATAAAAAAACCGTCTTTGAGATAAACCAACGTGAAGTCTTTGGCCCAATACTTTGCCACAAATGATTTGAATTAAGGATAATATGGCTTCTTGCCCATATCCCACAACCGAGGATTTCCAATAAGCAATTTCATCATCAATGACATCTTCCGTAATAGATACTTTCACTCCCCTACATTCTTGATGGTACTGCAAATTCTTAAAAGTTTGGGAATCTTCAAAGAAACTACTGTATTTAAAAAAAAAAAAAAAAAAAAAAACCTACTGTATTTAGGTTTGTTTGGGGTGGTAATCTGGCCTGGAGTTCTCGCTAGCAACGAGGGGGAGGAGGTCTGGCGTCAACCGAAAACCTAATCTCTGTGAAAAGAGAAAAAAAGGGTAAAAAGACTAAAAATCTTTTAATTAGTTGGTGATTTTGATAAATCACATCTTTAGAACAAAAATCAAGCAAAACCCATCTAATTCAGAAACTTAGGCGCCTCTCTATTGAAGCACACCTAGTGGGCCTTTTCTTGGGAAGCCAAGGAATTGAAAATAAATTTAAACTAGGTTTGGGTGGGGTGCACTATTGACGCTCAAGAGGTCCAGTAACAAGCTACTGTGGTGGACTCTCCCCCTCAAAAAATAAATTTAATATCGTGTGGGCTGATAAGAACAAATACTACACTTGATCTTAGCGCCAAAAGGCCGAGAAAGGTATGATTTGTAATGTGTTGGGCCTCCTCTTTTATAAGCACCTTTTCTTTTGCTCTTTTCACTTGTAGTCAATGTGGGACTAAACAAACCACCCACAACACCACCACTTACAGTTCTTTGATTTAAGTAATATTTTCATAATCTCAAAACTACCCTCAACAATTAATTTAGAAAGATTAGGCTATATTAATTAGTTTATTAATATAGCAATAACCTCTTTCATTTAATTTTCTTTCTTTCTTTTTCCTTTCAAACAATTTGAAAGGGTCATCGTATCTATACTACTATTATCTTGGAAGACCATTTCATCGAATCTTTGATGAGTTTAATCTTGCATTGTTGAATTTAAAAGCATTGTTGAATTTGAAATGTCATCAAAGGAACTTTTTGGAAGTTGACATAGTCGTTCTCTTCATTAGGTAGGGGTTCAGTGAAGTGTCATGTGAGTCCGCAAAAATTGAATTTATTACCTCTTTAGATCAAAATAATAATAAAAGCCATCTAATTTCTCTAATGATTTATTAAAATAGCTACTATGTTGGCCTCTCCCCCTCAAAAAATAAACTGATAAGAATAAATACTACACTTGATCTTAGCCAAAAGGCCGAGAAAGGTAGATTTGTAATGTGTTGAGTCTCCTCTTTTATAAGCAGCTTCCCTCTTGCTCTTTTGACTACTTGTCAATGTGGGACTGAACAAACCACTCGCAAATATACATCTTTTTATATTCGTGTCTGTGTGTCTTAACATTCGTCTCATTTTGCATTGCAGCGTTGACTAAATCTCAAGAAGAAGAAAGAGTGGCTCAGTAAGGAAAAAAAAAAAAAAAAAACCCTTTAAATAACAGTACAAAAAGAGTGATAAATTAGTTGGTTTTTGGTGATTTTGAGAGATTCATACACTTTCGTGGATTTGCATTCAAATTATGAAGCTTTGTTGGTGAAGTGCTTATTGATCCAAACTATCAAATAATGATGTACATGTAGTGTGTGTGTGTGTGTGTGTCATTAGTCTTCTTCTGTGCTTTCTGGTAATTCATATGGGAACAAGTAATCGATCATATTATATATTATATCAGGAAATTGAAAATCCTATTGAAGAATGGATGTCAAAACTCAAAATGAAGCAAATTTTGATTCCCTTGTACATTAAAAAGTGCCTTAGAAGGAGATGCATAAACAGGTTATACCAAAATTTGGAGGAGAGATTGGATTATATACAAAGCCTTAGCAACAGTGCAGTACTGGGTGGTTGATAAAAATAAATAAAAATAAAAATAAAACTCAACTATAAGTTAGTTTCTGGTGGAGGGTGTAATTAGAACTTAGAACTTGTTATGGCTTCTGAAGTTGCAACAGAATTCTACTAATTTCTTCCGATCATTGCCCAACTTCGACAACCAAGCATTAAGATTTCACACTCAACTTTGACCTAGTTTTTGGTGGGCTCTCTAAGGATGCGTTTTCACACTTGAGAGTCCATTTATACTCTCGGCCTAGATCTTCTGGCTATAGTGATTTGGTTATCACCACCTTATATAGGCTTATATATATTTTCAAACTCTTTTTTTTTTGGTTGTTGTTGTTGTTGTTTGGCCAAATGTGGTGTATTTGAAGAGTATGTAATGTGTTAAAAATCAGATGTAACGTGATGAAAAGTATACAATACTACTACATCAAGTATAATTACAGAGAGCTTTTCATATAATAAGCAAATATGTAATTACAGAGGGCTTTTTATACAATAAGCAAATATTTAAAAGACATGTCAAAAATTCTTGAAAACAATTACTTAACTAATTCTGTAATATGTATAGGGGTTAAGTGCAAAAAAATCACTTACTATATAAAAAAAAATGTACAAGAAACATTTCTATTAAAAAAAAGAAAAGAAAAAAGTATATATAACTCCTTGTATTATTCATCATTTGAGCAATTTGTCCCCTATTGAATAGATTTGTTGAAAAAGAGTTGTTGGTGACGTCATTTTTAAATAAATAAAAAATTCAAAAGTGCCCGTTTTGTGTGACAAAAATGTTCCTACTATTTTTGTATATATTTGAACACTGAATGTGTTTGTTTGGATGTACTTCAAGACCTGTTCAAGGAAAACTCTCTATGTGTCGGTATAGTCTATCTCTCTTAAAATATATATATTCTCTCTTTGAAATATCTTGCCACCAATATTCTATTTCTAATTTTTTTTCTCCCTCTAAAATTTTTTTTGTCACTGCCAATATTATCTCCTCTCTAAATAATAGTTGCACTATATTTTCTGGTAAATGAATGAGCCTCCTTAATTATATATTTATATATGTAATAATAATAATAATAATAATAATTAATTAAACAAATTTTCTTGGACACAAATTGTTATCAGATGAACTTAGGATTTCAATCAAAATTAAAATTTTGATCTAATCACTCTTTGACTGGACACAAACTCAAGCAACACAATTTTTTTTAAAAAAATTGTTTATTTTATTAATGTCGGTATTTTTATCATATATTGTTCTTTATAATAAATAAGCACATGAATTTAACATCACGTGAGCCAAACTTTTTGAGTTTACCATTAATATTTTTTTTTCCCTAGTTGGTTTACCATTATTTTTTTTGTTGGTCCTAGTAAGTACCAATTGGTGTTTGCCTTTTTAATGTCAAAACCTAGTGTTAGAGAGTTGTAAGTGGCTTATATCATCTCTTAGGGGTAGTATAGTCTTTTACCATCTTGTGACACAATTACACAATGGTTTAAGATAGTACATTGCAGCTATTCAGCTTGTTAAGCCTATTTTCTATGTTAACTGAGATTCAGCATATGAAAATTAGTTATAGGGATTTTCAGGGATGCTATGGTCATTTCACAGTTGTATTATATGTTTATACATGTGGTCAAATAGTTACATTGCATTGAACATGTAATACCCCTAATTTTTAGAAGTTTATTTAAGTGTTTTAATTGCATTTTTATAATATATTATGTTTTATTACAATAATTATTTATTATTATAATTAGTTTATTTTATGTTTTGTCAGACGTGTGTTAGGACTAAGGTTATATGTGTTTGGCTGTTTTTTTTTAAAGGGCGTGCCAGAGTCTTTTGACTCAAATTGAAAGTAACCAAACTTATCATTTTGACCGAAAAAGGAAAACGGTCCTTATAGAAACTCAGACGATTGTTAGGAAAACAATGATTACCACTTTTCTTTTTGGGTTCTTCAATGACTCAATAAAGAGGACTTCTTTAACAAAGAATGGAACAAATGAAGGGAGCAAAGAATACTGCACAAGCGTTCACCAATTCCATAAAACTAAACTTACAAAATAAGATATGGAGGGGACAGAGCCAAGCGTCCAATTTTTATTCCATAAGTATAATTCCAATACAAGTTTACAAGTATAGGAATTATTGATACAATAGAATTCTAGTACTAAGGAAAGAATAGAATAAGGAAAATACATGTAAAGGAAAGAAAATACAAGAAAAAGACTACATTGTAAGAAAATGCATTGTGTTGGTCGGGGACCTCTTGCACATTCTCCTCTGGCAATATTTATAGTTGCATATCCCGATCAATTAACAACAGTTTATCCAACATTTGGAACTTCTATTTTGAATTCAAACACTTTGTTTGAATATAAATATAACCAAACTTGTCCGATGTTGCATTATCTTCATCTTTAAACACGTACTATTGTGCCAATTATCAAGTTTTCACATGAGACCAATTTACTTGATGATGTGGCAGATCAACCTTTATATTTTCTCATAATGCTAAATTAGAAAAGAATGCAAACACCTTCACAATGTTTTACCCTCTAATCAACTACTACCATTTGGCTTAATTAAGATCTTCCTCCTGCTAACAACATATGGCCAGAATTAAAATTTTATTCCCCCCCCCCCCCCCCCAAGCTCTTTAAAAATGAGATTGGATCAAATTTTTGAAGAACTGAAACTTATGGATCACAATTTAAATTGGCCATTAAGAATCGACCGCTCTAAGATTCAGCACCATACCAAGACTAAGACATTTTCATTCAAATATATTCAACAGCAATGCCAAGTGGCCAAACCTCTATCAAAGTCTTTCTAGTCTTCAAAACTTTTTATAGCTTCTTTAGACCACTCTAGATTTGCTTTGGATCGCTCAAGAACTGCTTTCGACTAATGTTGAATTTAGTTACAAATTTGGCCTTTTGCATTATAAATTGGCCTTTCATAATATGACGGTCCTTAGGCCAATTTTTTTATTAGCACCTTGTTACCTTGTTGCCAACAGGATCGAATGGAAATTCTTCGCCGAATGGGTTGCCTTCTGCAGCCAAGTTAGTCTATCTGCCATAGGGTGCTGATTTTGTTGCTTCTTTCTTGTTGGAGAAAGAAACTTAGTGATGCTAACAATCTTCAATAATATAGAGGTCAATTCGGATTTGCCCTGTTGGCTGATTCTCTCCTTTTTCGTCTTTAGCCGCTTCAAACTTCTAATCCTTCTCGCATTTGAGACAATGTTTTTGACTGATCAAAATGATTGGCGCTTCTTTCAGCGGCTTATCTATTTTCTCAAAATTATTTTTCTGATTAACCTTTAAAATCGACCACTTTTCTTCTGGCCATTCCTATTCGACCTTTGAAAACAACCGCTTTTCTTCTGACCGTTCCTGATGAACATATGAAATTCACCATTTTCCTTCCAAACGAATTTTGATTGATTTCTAAAATCAACCATTTTTTTCTCTGACCATTTTTGTTGTTGATTAGCTTGATACTTCATGAACACTTGTAAAGGAACTACTTGTTGTGGAATCATTGGCGCCGTCTGCGATCGATATTGATAATACATCTGTTGTTGGAGCGGCTGGTAACATTGTGGTTGATAATGCTGCGGCTGGTAAAAATAATAGTGTAGTTAAACAGGCGCTACAACTTATGGTAGTGTATTAACCTTACACTATGATCGTGCCATAAGTTGCTCATCTGATTTTGCTGCTAAAGCCCAATTGAATCACAAAAGTTTATGACCGAATAATGCAAATGGTCAATTGCTATATGAACTTTATGAAAATCACGTGAAATCGCCATGAATGTAAATTTAAAAATTTTAACACTTTTGTTTCTCAGCGGTTTTGATTTTCGACACTTCAGTGCTTCAAATTTTCAGCAACTTTGATTGATTTTCGACACTTCAGCACTTCAGATTTTCATCACCTCTGATTGATTTTTGACACTTTAGCACTTAAAATTTTCTGCAACTCTGGTTTTCGACACTTCACCGCTTCAGATTTTCAAAGCCTCTAATTTTCGCACGTCAGCGTCTCTGAATTTCAACACTTTCGGGGATGTCCCACCGGGCATACCAAATTGTTTGGCTGTTTTTTTTTTAAAGGGCATGCCAGAGTCTTTTGACTCAAATTGAAAGTAACCAAACTTATCATTTTGACCGAAAAAGGAAATCGGTCCTTATAGAAACTCAGACGATTGTTAGGAAAGCAATGATTACCACTTTTCTTTTTGGGTTCTTCAATGACTCAATAAAGAGGACTTCTTTAACAAAGAATGGAACAAATGAAGGGAGCAAAGAATACTGCACAAGCGTTCACCAATTCCATAAAACTAAACTTACAAAATAAGTTATGGAGGGGACAGAGCCAAGCGTCCAATTTTTATTCCATAAGTACAATTCCAATACAAGTTTACAAGTATAGGAATTATTGATACAATAGAATTCTAGTACTAAGGAAAGAATAGAATTAGGAAAATACATGTAAAGGAAAGAAAATACAAGAAAAAGACTACATTGTAAGAAAATGCATTGTGTTGGTCGGGGACCTCTTGCACATTCTCCTCTGGCAATATTTATAGTTGCATATCCCGATCAATTAACAGCAGTTTATCCAACATTTGGAACTTCTATTTTGAATTCAAACACTTTGTTTGAAT